TCACGACTTACGGCTACCCACAGCACAACATATCACAGCCACACACAAATCATCCATTCAGATAAGAATTAAGGTAACCAAAACAATCATCAGCATTGGAAATGGAAAACACAGGAACTGGAAAAAATGTTGTCACATTCGCCAACCTTCGCCTGGCGAAGCCTTCTGGTGAATGCTCGCTACAACCTTCGCCCGACGAACTCACCGGCGAAGTCAAACAGAAGCTACTGGAAGTGTTTTCTACCACTCTCTAGATACATTCGCCTGGCGAACCCTCGCCACTAGCCTTCGCCTGGCGAACTTGCCAGCGAAGACTTGAATTTGGCTAAGGACTTGGTTCGCTAACCATTCGCTAGGCTTCGCCTGGCGAAGCTTCGCTGCCACTCGCCTGGAGAACCTGCGAACTCAGAAATTCCTCACTGATCCAAACTCCGAAAACTCACTGAATCTAACCGATTCTATTCCGACTCGTTCCAGCAACATAACCCAACATCTCTCGACTTAAACTTAATCACTTATTCTCATTTTCAATCGTTAAAAACTCATTTCTACCGATTAAACTCGAATTCGACCTAGAAATGGAAGAAGGTAGAAAGCATCCAACAAATCCAAACAACTCATACATGATCACACATATGGATAGAATAATAAAGTTTAACACCCTTACCCGATTAATCGAAGCTTAGAAGTTGATTTCTTGATTGTTTTAGATTTTTCTCCTCTTTCTCCTTTTTCTCTTCTCTTCCCTTCTTTCTTTCTCTTTTCTTTCTATCCTCCTATTTTCTTTTCTATTTCTTCTTATATTTTCCTCACAACTCTAATTCTACCCAAAAAGACCAAAATACCCTCCAATCTAAATTTTACCCGAAACTCTCCGAAACGGTAAAATATTAAAACGTACTATATTTAGCACATAGAATTCACATTTAAAACAATTATTAATCAAATCAATTAAAACACTCAATAAAATGAAATAATCGAAATCGGGGCGTTACAAGATTCAAGAAGTACCGTAGGTAGACAACGTCAATATAAATGACACTCTTGTCCATAAAAATCAAAGTGTCAACCAAAAAAAGGAAGTATGCTCATAAAGTCTGCATCATGTGGACTTTCACCTGTTCATCATCACCGTGAGCCTGCTCTTCCTTCTAGATCTCAACCTTATAGAGCTTCTCCAAGAACTCAAATTTAGCATGAGCACCCCTGGTCCTATCCACCTACTAAGTCGCCTCCCCTAGATCAGTCCACATATGCTCTACCATTATCTTGACTTCCTCGCCTTTGGTCATTCTCTCATGATCTAGGAATCTCCCCCTGATCGGAAGATGTAGCAAACACGAGACTTCGTCTAGTGTGATAGACATCTCACTATTTGGGAGATGAAACAAAGAGGTCTTTGAGTTTTATCTTTCCACGAATGCATTAAGCATCTTGTGACTGACCATAGTGTAACCGGTCATGCATAGGTCCTTTAGGCCAGATAAGGACACGACTATCTGAAGCCAACCCACATTCGATTGACGCAATGCAACAACCTTCCTCCCGTAGTTAAGAAACTTATAGGGATCACACTTCTGAAATTGTCAGAAATAATCAATGTCATGAATAATAAATGTAAAAAATTATCAATGTCAGCAATTAAAATTAACGCATAAAAAATAAAAAATCTAACTAATACTACCTCTTTGTCCCAGATATGTTTGACAGTATGGTCTCAATACAGAGGAAGTAAAGATAAATCAAATGGAACTCCTCCAAAATCCCCTGGCTCGGCATCCGCAACATCCTCACCCTCCGGAGGTGGCACTGGATCAACATCATCATCGATGGGAGGTGGGACTAGATCAGTAGCATCAGCCATAGGAGGCGCCACTAGTGAATCTAGACGCATGCGGGAGGATGGGGGAAATGATGCGTCATATGACATATCTCGTCTCCTACGGGAAGAAGAAGGTGTAGTGGCCTGAGGTGAAGCACGAGCCTCAAAAGTAGATGGCGCTCCAGAAGTAGACGACTCTGTCTGACCAGAGGTACCTAGAGCCACTGGAACCTCTTGGCTCCGCTCCTCCCGAACGGATGCGTGTTGAGCAACCCTACCATGTCTCTGTCAAGCATTATGCCTGTAACATAAAGTAAGGCATATCATCAGTGCACACGAACGACATACATTCGCAAGAAAATTATAAGAAAACATATTGCAGGAAAATCCAGAGATGCATCTCCGAAAGCACTAGGAAACTAAAACGTTGAAACATTCTGGAGATGCATCTCCGAAAGCACCATTTAACTAAAACATTGAACAATTCCAGAGATGTGTCTCCAAAATTTCATGCAGTATATGAAACGCTGAACAATTTCGGATATGCTTCTCTAGAATGTTCTTCAACTCAGAAGTTGCGTCAATAGCGAACTGACCCCATGTAAGTTGAAAAAATATGTCATGATCACTATTTTTAGCCAACAAACAACTTATACACTATGTAAAAACTATATTACATGTGATTTATAGATGTTTCCAACCCTAATAATTGATTTCTACTCATTTACACTAAAACTCAAACATTTATCGAAAATTTGAAAAACTTACTTTAAATTGATGATTTTTAAGAAGTTGAATGGTGTTATAGATGAAATTTGATGTTCTTTTGAGTTCCTTTGAGAATTGTTTAATGTAATTCGATTTAGTGTAAGGAAGTGTGTTGAGAGTTTGAAATTGTGGTTGAAGAAAATTATGAAATGAGGAAGGAGAAGAGTCTAGCGCGACTTATACTCTAAAATATTTCGAAGATATATCTCTGAAATATTTCAACGTTCACTTACATTTGAATACGTTTGAAAATATATCTCTAAAAATAGGGAACATGTGTAAAATTTTACATGGTATAGTAAAAATACTAAAGATGTTTTAAAAAATTCTCAAAAAAGAGTCTAATTTAGTCATTAAGTCCAAAAAGTCTTAGATGTTTATAACAAGAATAATGACATTAGAAGGCAATGGCGATAGGTCTATTTTGCTCAATTTTATGAGCTTTAGAAATTCAAAAATTTAATATCACAATGTTCCCATTCCAATTAGATAATTATTCTTTAAAAAAAAGTAAGATTACGATATAAACATTCTCACCCACACTAAACTACTAGTGTCGATCATGATAAAGTACAAGTTAATCTCCATATACATTTATTACCAAGCCAACAACTACTCATAAAACAAGATTAAATAAACTTAATGTCAAATCAACGGTTATATTTAGATAATTTAAAAATAACGGAGCGGACCGGAACATAACGGAATATAATGGAGTAGAATAGAACGGAATATAAACTCCATTCCACTGTTTGGATATTTTACAACGGAGCGGAACTAATATCTCATTTCACTGTTTGGGAATTAAACGGAGCGAAAAACATTATAATTTTTTTATTCCATTTTTACCCTTTGCTACAATATTGATAGATCCAACATTCTCACACTAAAATAATATATAAGTAATAATTAAAAAATATCAACTTAACATTTAAAGAAATTAAAACATACAGTAATAAATTAAAATGTTCATAAATGAAACATGGTTATTATAACTTGAAATTGCAAAGAACAAGTGCACAAGTTTTGATCAACACCATACTGAATATTTATAGTAATTCATAAACAAAATCGAGTTTTGCTAAAATTAAATGATAAATATATGTCTATAGTAGATAATGATATCAAGTATTGCTAATTAAAAAGATAAATAAAAAAGCAACAGGAACAATAGTTTTGCAACAAATCTAATTTCTACTTTTGTTCTTAATAAAAAGTTAATTTAACATACAAAACACTATAAAGCAACATAAATCATAATTTTAGGTTTTGTTTTTAGTAACTATACCTAGTTTCTGAAAAATGAAAAAGACATGAACATGAAGATAAATCAAAATATTTAATTTAATAGAGCACACATATAAATACAGGTAAAAAAATGAGAAGAAATATGATGTACCTTGTTAAGATAGAAGAAAGATAGACTATTTGCAAGTAAGAAGAAGGTCTGTGAAGGAGAAAAGTTGCAGTGAATGAATAGAAAAATATCAAGTTGATTGAAATAAGGAATATGAACTGTTAATAATAAAAGTGAAAATTTGAAGAATAAAATTGTAATTGTTTTATTAATTGATTTATTCCATTAGATACACCCCAATTTGGAGAATAAAAAATAGGTCAAAATAGTGGTATTTGATGGAATGTGTTTCTTCATACTCCATTCCATTCTAAATCTAAACAATGGAACATAACTCCACTCTACTCCATTTCATCCCTTTCCATCAATCCAAATAGACCCTACATAGGAAAACCAATAAATTTCATCATAGTGTATACTATAATTGAACACTCCAAATCAAACAAGTGGCACTAAACTAATAAAATTGCATCAGAAATTTTGTCTCATCAAGCCACGTCACCTTGCATTGTTTAATCAAGCCTCAAAATTCAATTCATCCAAAAGACACCCTATAAATGCGAATATGTGCACCATTAGAGGGGTGACATACCAGTTTGATGACCTACTTCAGATGGATCTACATTATATAACACTGGCAAAACAAATTTCTCTATAGCTCTGCACGATTCCAATCAACAACACGATTCCACATAATTTATTGAGAAAATGATAAGATTTTTAGACTCTTGAACTGTTTGCAGAATTTTGAAGATAAATGTTAATCAGACGCCATTCTGCTAAAATATCTTTGACTCATACTATATATGTCAGCAAACAACATCAGGAATTGCTTACTTAATCAGAATACTCAAACTATTCAAAACTACCAACTTACACATATAAGTTAACAAAAGAACAAAAACTAAACCAAAGGCACACAGTAGAAACAAGTTTAATAAAACCATTAAACAGCATATCACAAATTTCACACAGATTGCCAAGTTTGTTCTCAAACAGAATGACTTCTGGAAAAATGACTGATTTCCACCTACAAACTCAAGTCCAACTTGACTATCTCCAACACTCCACTAATCTACACATAAAATTTGTAATCCACTGTCTAAAACCATTCTCGACAAATCCACAACAATTATCAGTGACAACATTTTCTTTCACGAGTTCCACTTGTGGAGAGCTTGTCCTGACCATGCTTTCATTTTCATCAGCACTACAAGCATTAGTTTTTTCTTCTGGTGCTTCGCATTGTATGCTTTCTTTTTCATCAGCACTACCAGCAATAGTGTTTTCTTCTGGTGTTTCACATTGTATGCTTTCATTTTCATCAGCACTACCAGCAATAGTGTTTTCTTCTGGTGCTTCGCATTGTATGCTTTCATTTTCATCAACACTACAAGAAACCGCATTTTCTTCTGGTGCTTCACATTGTATGCTTTCATTTTCATCAACACTACAAGAAACCGCATTTTCTTCTGGTGCTTCGCATTGTATGCTTTCATTTTCATCAGCACTAGAAGAAATAGTATTTCCTTCTGGTGCTTCGCATAGTATGCGTTCATTTTCATCAACACTACAAGAAACCATATTTCCTTCTGGTGCTTCGCATTGTATTCTTTCATTTTCATCAACACTACAAGCAACCATATTTTCTTCTAGTGCTTCGCATAGTATGATTTCATTTTCATCAACACTACAAGCAACCGTATTTTCTTCTGGTGCTTCCCATTGTTCCCTTTTTTCTCCCATCGGTTCATCATATACGAGATAAACTGTAGTTTGCTTCGCAATGAAACCATTCCCAAAAACAACAACAACTTCCACTCTGTCTCCAGGATCTATACTTGATACTACTCTCTCCCCCTCCTCATCCTTAAAGGAAGCTAATGTCTCTTTCTTATAGAGCTGAATGGTGGCCTTTGTGTAATTTTTCACTAACACATTTTTAAGACCATCCGATGTTATGTTATCCGGAGTTGATGAATCGGCAATGCAGATCATTGACTTCAAGTTATGCCCTTCTACTTGAGGAACTTCAAAAGTTACCGAAGAACCATCACAATTGAAGCTTAACCAATCGGGATAATTATCACCCAGAAGCACACAACCACCGCTCTCATCGCCAGTCATATACTGTACAAGAAAAATAGGATCAAAATTCAATCTAACAAGATATTTATTGGGTCACAAGGGAAACCTCAACATCACGAGATCATCACATTGATTTAAGAGAAACTACGCAAGTGGATTAGATACACATTTTCACCGAAAACATTAAGGCATTGGATATATGGATCACATCACTTTTATGTCACTTAAAAATCACTCACATTTTCTTCTAACATGTGACTTCTTATTTACATTTGGCAGAACAATAATATTAACAATAAAATGCATGCAAAGGAGAACGAGCAAAACCTGTAAAACTTTCTCTTTCAGAATATTGGCAACTTGGCAATTCATTCCCAGTTGAATGAAAAGAGATTTCAAGGAATTTTTTGATACTTGTGATGTGGTTGCCATTGGTTCCAATTCTCGAGAATTTATGGCATATAATGCCTCTAAAATTATTGTTGTATCAAGAGAAAGCCGATCTTCTGAGCTGCATTCCACCCAAAGACTTCTGAGACTTGGAAGGTACTTGGAAATCGATGATAGCTCCTGGGAACTACTATGTGGTACATCTAAAGAAGCAAGAGATGACATAATAGAAGTTTGAAATTGTGATGTAAGATTATTTGTTGGAGATATCCAAGACGAAATGATAGCTGGAAACACATCCCGTGAGAAACCTTCATAGCCGCACAAACAAATGTAGCCAATGCTTTTTGATTTCACAATAGAAAATGGAACTCTTGTTATTCCAGTGTTATTTGCAATCAGAGTCGTTAAAGATTTCATTTGTTCTATGTCCTCTTCCAATGTGTCAATCATTAAACACCCTGAGAGAATTAGAGTTTTAAGAGATGTCAACTTATAAATGCTTCTTGGAAGATTAGATAGGCTAATACAGTCTTCCAAATTTATTAGAAGAATTTTCTTGAGATCTCCAATGCTCTTGGAAACCTCAGATAACATTGGACAATCTACAAGTATTAGCTTTTCAAGATTAGGCAAATTTGAGAAGTCTGGAGTTTGCGTCAAATAATGAGAATGACTAAGGTTTAAGATTTTCAGCATCTCCATTCTCTACAAGAGCATAAATATTAAAAAGAGAATTTAGGGAATAAGCTTACATAAATAAATGGAAACATTTACCATGAAAGTGAAAAAATACGTTCAATGCAAAAAACTAAAATCAATATGAATACCTGGGCCTCTTTCCACACAAATCTCATATTACTGTTTTCTAACTCTATGGAAACTAATTTTCCTTGATAAAAATTTGAAGGTAGGCATGTTAAAGGAAATCCATTCCAACATAGCCATCTTAAATTTCTGGAAAGATAGTCAAAATCTCCATCAAGTTCTACTCCAACAAGTTGAAGCAATCTGAGTTTCTTCATCTTCTTAAATGCTTTAGTGCTAAAACATTCTGAATTAGCTATTGGAAACTTCAAAGCTAGTCCTTCAACAACATTTGTTCCCTGTGGTAAAACATGAAGAACTTTAAGAAACAAAACCAGTTAAAAAACTTGTGACTAAGCTGACTGTTTGTTAGAAATCTGAAAGAAAAACAATTTTAACTCTCAACAAAACTAATTTTCAAATTTCTTATGTTAATTAACTCATAAATGATTTTTTTTTCTTTTCTTTTTTATGCTATAGAGATTTTTAATGCAAAAATAAGTATAAAAAGTGCTTACATTTCGATCAGATAAAACATCGAGAACATCCTGATGAAACCATAACCTACTACGCTCCTCAGGCTTTTTTGGTGATTTTTCACGAATGATTTCTCTTCCCATATCTCGTAACAAATCATGCATTCCAAGCTTGTTCTTATCATCAACAGTTACCAGGCTTCGCTCAACAAGCACACTTATTCCAATTTCTGCAAAAAGTCCACATGGATTTAATATTTGTATCACATCATTTCGGTCCATTCCAATAAAGAAACAAGCTATGTCAAGAAATATTTCTTTCTCAGTATCGTCATTTAAACCATCATAGCTGATTTTTAACTTCTGTTGTACTTGATCATTGGGAATTATTTTTATTTTCTCCAATACACTTTTCCAATCTGATAGTCCCCTGTCAAACAAATAGGAACCGAGGACTTCTAAAGCTAGTGGCAATCCCCCACAGTACTCAACAATTTCTCTAGAAATTTCGGCAAATTGTTTTCTGGGACTAGGTTGCTTGAATGCATTCAAACTAAAAAGCTCAATTGATTCATTTTCATCCATTTCTTTCATTGTGTGAACTTTGTCAACGCTTAGCCCTCTAAGCATATCTTTATCTCTGGTTGTGATTATTATTCTACTCCCAGAACCAAACCATTCACGACTTCCACACAAAGCTTTTAGTTGGTCCAAACTATTCACATCATCAAGTATAAGAAGTATTCTTTTACGAGAGAGCTTATCCTTCAATGTAGTTTTCCCAGACTCAATGCTTTGTATCTTGATTTTTGTTTCTTTGAAGATATCAAACAGAAGTTGTTCTTGTAAAGACACTTTTCCAGTAGTTCCTTCCCAAGTTTCCCTAATATTTGCAATGAAACTCCTACCTTCAAAATTGCAGCCAAATTTGTTGTAAATGGCTCTCGCAATGGTTGTTTTACCGGTTCCCCCCATACCCCACATCCCTAGAAGTAGAACATTATTTGATTGTTGGATGTCTAGCTGCCGAATTATTTCTTGCACTCGTGATTCAACTCCCACTGGATTATCAGCAACAAACAACTGTGTTTTGTCAAGCAAAAGAGTAACTTTTTCAACAATATGATTGATAGCCTCCCTTTCATTCCTATAAAATGAACCAAAGAAAAGATGAATAAACCAAAGCACATGCAGACACACGCACAGCCATTCTCGCAGACACAATATTTTCCAGAGGTAACTGAACCTAAATTACCTTGAATCTAGAACCACGAAACCAGCAAGGCCAGCCGCTTGACGAAGTGCTTCTCTCCATTTCAAAGACTTTTTTTTGTTGCCCTTTGAAATCCTATTCAAAAGAGTTTGAAATGCTTCTCCAAACTCACCAGTTTGGTGACGAACTTCAGATGGATCTACATCATAGAACACTGGAAGCACCACTTGCCCTACGGTTCTGCGACACTTCATTATTTTCACCAATTCTTCCAAACACCATCTCGAATCTGCATAATTTCTTGAAAAAACAATCACAGAGATCCGAGAGTCTTCAATTGCTTGCAGTAGTGAGGTTGCAATGTGATCTCCTCTCTGAAGCGAATCATCATCTATGAAAACGGAGATTCCATCGTTTTGAAGAGAAGCACGGAGATGTGAAATGAAAGATGCACGTGTGTCAACTCCTCTGAAACTTAAGAAGACTTCATGTTTCTCTCTATTATCGTCAAACTGGTCCTCTACCAAAGAAGCAGTGAGTTCTGAAATGAGATCTTCATAGCCTATAGCACAATCATCGAGAAGTGTGATGATTCTTTCACTATTTAGAAAAACCAGATTTGAAATCATCCATTCAAGTTTTCGAAGAGAATGATGGAGAAGTGAAGCGCGAAGTGCACCTCTTTTTCTTCTTATGAGAATCAAGGTATTGAAGTTCTCTTGAAGAGAAGAAGTGAGTTCTGAATAGACAGATAGAAGGTGTTGATTAAATGATCCATCAATGTTTTCTTCTCTGTGACTTGTGACGAACGTCTTAGTTTCACGCAACGATTGAAGAGAAGCTTTTAAACGTAAAATGCGAGGATAACGAGCGTCTTCTTTTAGGAAACGCGCTTTATCAGCTCTTAATTCATTCAATATCTCGATTCTTTTGTTCTCTTTTTTATCTCTCGCCAGGTCGTTTAAAGCTGTAGAAAATTAAATTATTAAACAAAAATTAAAAAAAAAAAATAGAAAATAAAAATAGGAGAATGAGTTTTTTTCTCATAAAATAATCTAGGTGAGTTATACTTCTAGACCTCAAGATTGGTCAAAAGATCCTCACATCTAGCTTGGCAAAATCCGAATGAATAAGAGGGTTAAGAATGTAACCTTTTCTTCTAATCTGTCCGCTTTTGGGTCGAAGTGGCATAGTAGACCGGAGCTTTGAGGAAGACATCACGAATGATTGAATCACAGAGTTAACGGATGCTGCTGCTTTGCTGTAGCGCAAGTCTGTCTGAACAAATGGATTCTGTTATCTTCAATATGGAAATTCAGTGTGTTTAGTTGAACTACAATACAATTAAGAAAAGGATAAGCACCCTTTGACTTTTGGGAGGAAATTTTAGGGGCTGGTTTCGTAACTTTTCGCGGCAAATGCATGTAACTTTCCTTCTCTCTCACCTGCAACTTTCTCTCTAAACTTAATTTTTCTTTTTAGTTTATTTTATCTTTCACAAAATATGTTAGAAAAATACATAAAGTTATCCAATTATAGAGTTTGAATTATAATTAAATAAATAATTTAGAAATTAAACAAGAAGTTGAATTTATATTATTTGTTATTTTATTTTAAATGTTTTTAAATTAGACTTTTAATAGCATTTAAATGCCATCTTAAAGTTTAGATTTAAAAGTGGACGGTAGAGTTATCGTTGTGACAATGGTGGTGACGCATATCTCTTTGGCATTTGCTATATCGCCTTCTTATCATGTCGAATTGACCGTTTTAACTCTACCAAATTTTATCTGAGTCCCAACATTTTATCAGAATTCCATGAAAAGTAGTCTTTGAATTCTTTCAACAATTCAATGATTTTGACGTTTTGGCTTGGGTTAATCTTTGCACTTATGTATATTGATCTTTTAAATGTTCCAACTTCTAAATCAACTTCCTCCAGAGGGTCTTGAGCTTGGATTTTCTTGGATGACACTGATGGATCTTTTGTTCAAATCCCAAAGGCTCATCATCATAGATGCAATCGAGCCTTTATCTTTCTGATTTTTCTATTTCAATCACCATTGAATGCTCTTTATTTACCAACTTGGAAAAATGATTTTCACCAGTCTCCTTTGCTTTATCATTTTTAATATGATCAGCTTAAACATTCATTCTTTGTTGAAAATCGGTTTCCAAAGCCACCTTAATTCGATTTCCGGCCATATGGGCTGTGATTTAAGCTAGTGTGCTCAATTCAGTCATCAGTATCATCTGTCACTAGCCCCCCAGTACCTGCGATGGCCCCTTCGTTAGGTCCATTTCCCGTGACCTCTTATTTTCACATGAACCCGTGAGTATGATGTAGCTTCAATGTAATATAAACAATTACCTCTGGAAGCTTCTGTGGACAACCGATACTATCTTTGTCACTAGTAGCTTTACCCTCTGGAGCGCGCCTTTCTGACATGTATCTCTCCTTGTCCTTCTGTAATTCACGGATTTGAGCTTTCAATTCCTCCAAAGCATCCATCACTTCTTTATTGGTTGGATTTTTTTTCTTTGGCTGCTTATACAATTTGGATGGAGTGACACCAAATCCCTTACCCCTCACACGCCCAGAATACTCAGGAATATTCAACACCCGACTCAGTAAGCTCCTGCAATCATCGTCCTCAACTGGAGTTATAGTCTGGGATAGAGTCTCCTGAAATATAGATAAAAGCATATATAAATATATTATACACTTTTGATCAGTTACTGACAAAGATAACGTTGTACTTACACATTGTTCATAAACTTGTTGAACTTCTTCCTGAACGACTCCATCTCTTCCCACACGGGCAGCCTTCCATACAACATGGTCCGGAAGAGATGTCGCATCACTTTTCTCTTCTTCAAACTACGCATTAAGAGGGATAATAAAACATTATATCCTATTATATATAATTACTATTTTTTGTAAATATATCATATTAAAGCATTTATATGTACTTACTATTTTTTGTTCTAAGCGTGCATATCCCAAACGCCCCTTTTTGTATGGATATGCGGGTTTTGATGCCCGTTGGCGATTTACGCCACTAACAACCTGAAAAAACAAGTTTATCAGAACTCTTGTGGAAGAAGTATATATATTATACATAGTTCATGATAAGTTGTACTTACTTCAAATTCTTTTGTTCTTCGCTTTGCAACAAATGTCTCCCATTCTTCATCCGAAATCAAATCCGCGTACTTCATTGGACGCTCCGAGTCAACAAAGTTTCCATCAGAATCTTTAAGAAACTTGTTTGTTAAAAACGCTCTAAATCCCCTCAAGCGTTTTCCGGCCAATTGAATACAATATTTTCTCCTACGATTATCAATATTAAAAGGTCTCTGCAAACAAATACACATACATATAACATGTTAGTATAATTAATTTAAAGACGTAACTGTCAACATAATTAAAAATAATCAAATATCGTACCTGAATCTCACTCCAAATTTTATCTTTAGCCGGTTGTAATGAAGGAATTCTCCAATTATCGCAAGTAATCGGAACTTGCAAACGTACAAGGGCTCCGATGTAACTTGTTAGCAACGCACCATTAGGCTCAACTAACTGATCTCTTTCATTCCAATGGACATCATACTTTACTCCTTTATCTCTCGCACGGATGATTTTTTTCATAATCGTTATGCCTCTTTTAATATCTCCTTCCACGTCTTTTGTTGTTAGTTTTTCATCATGTGATGTTTCCTCGTTGCTGGCCATAATATATATACCTGTATTTCAGAAAAACCAAAGTATCAAATGAATGACATGCAAATATGTAAATAAGAAATATATACATAAGAAATGTATAAATAAGGAAAACATGGTATAAATAAGAAATAATATTTTATTTTATTGCACGATATAAATAAGAAATAATATGTTACAAGTACCTTTAACATCTCTTTATTTTTTTCGTTTTAACGGGGTTTACTTGTCTCTTAACAACACGGACGAATGGATTGATCCAAATTCCCTCGTTATGATCATTTCTAATATATGATTCGTCCGCTCTAATATTCTCATCTGGATCATCTATAATATAAGATTCATTCTCAACATCAACATCCCCCTTTTCTCCAATGTTATCATCGATTACTTTGTTGGAAAAAAGAACTATGGATCATTTCGTACTTGTCGGATCAGTGATATAGAACACTTGTTTAGCTTGCGTGGCTAGAATAAAAGACTCATCTTTGTACCCCACCTTATTAAGATCCACTTTCAAAAAACCTGATTTATCCATTCGTATGCCACTATTATTTTCAACCCACTTGCATCCAAAGATAGGAATCTGAAACTTCTCATAATCAAACACCCAAATGCGCTCGATAACCCCATAATACGAGGAAATGTGCATTGCTTCGGCAAGCACGGTGACACCACTATTTTGCATTGTACTTTTATCATCTTGTTCCTTGGTATAAAATGTGTATCCATTAATTGCGTATGGGCTATAAGAAAACACATGCAAACTTGGACCATATGCTAAACATCTCAACCTTTCTGTTATTGAAGCGGGATCAGAATAAAACTTTGAAAAAATATGCTCCTTGAACCATGTTATAAAACTTCGATTGTGCTCATGTACTATCGAATTTTCATTTCTATTCAGATTTAAACCTCGGAGAACGTCCTTGTGCATTTCAACATACGGCTCAACCTCAATGTCATTGTGCAGAACATACAAATGCACTTGCTCTCGTTCATCCCTTGAAATTGTCACAACTTTATTTCCAATTAACTGTTTACCTACTATTTTTTTCAACAACATTAGATTTTGGGAGGCCAATGGATTGAACGTTGGACAAATATTCAGTACAAAACTCAATAGCTTCTTCAACAATGTATCGTTCAACAATACATTCCTCTGGTCGAATTTGGTTTTTCACATACCCTTTCAATATTTTCATATAACGTTCAACAGAGTACATCCATCTCATATAGGCAGGTCCACACAGTTGTGTCTCTTTCACAAGATGAACAACTAGATGTACCATTATGTCAAAAAATGATGGAGGAAAATATATTTCAAGCTCGCACAAAGTAATAACTATTTCTCTTTGCAATGTTGGTAAGATCGCAGGATCTATCACCTTACTACAAATTGACCTAAAGAAAAAATACAATTTAGTTATTGCGCCTCTCACTTTTTCTGAAAAAATAGAACGTATACCTATTGGTAGAAAGTGTTCCATTATAACATGGCAATCATGTGTCTTTAAACTCTTTAACTTGAGGTCTTTCATAGAAACTAGTCTTCTAATATCTGAAGAGTATCCTTCTGGAACTTTAACTTCACTCAGAAACTTACACAATATCTTTTTCTCATTTCTAGATAAAGTCTAAGCAGCAGGTGGTAAATATGTGTGATTTCCTTTCTTCAAGGGTCCTAATTCATTTCTTATTCCCATTGCTACCAAGTCCTTTCTTGATTTAAGGTCATCCTTAGATTTTCCTTGTATATTGAGTAACGTACCAATAACACTTTCAAATACATTTTTTCCAATATGCATAACATCAAGAAAATGTCTTACATACAACGACTTCCAATATGGCAACTCAAACAAAATTGACCTCTTCTTCCACCCACGTGTGACAAGCGTATGAGCAAAAGGCTTGCCAAACTTAGTACTCACATCTTTCACCTTTTCAAAAATTTGTTCGCCGGTCAATGTAGGTGGAGCTTTACGTTGTTCTGAATTTCCATTGAATGTTTTTCTTCACCCACGGTAGTGATGATTAGAATTTAAGAATCTACGATGACCAAGAAAGACATTCTTCTGACCAAATTCCAACCGCGTCCAATATGTGTTTTCTTCACATATAGGACACGTACATTGACCTTTAATGCTATAACCCGATAGATTTCTGTATGCTGGGAAATCATTAATTGTGCCAAACAACATCGCCCTCAAATTAAAACTTTCTTTCCTATATCCATCATAAACCTCTTCACCGTTCTCCCACAAACTCTTTAGGTCTTCGATTAAAGGTGTCAGGTATACGTCTATGTCATTCCCTGGTTGTTTAGGGCCAGAAATTAACATAGATAACATCATGTACTTACGCTTCATACATAGCCATGGAGGTAGGTTATAAATCATAATAATTACAGGCCAGGTGGAATGTGAGATACTTTGAAGACCATGCGAATTCATTCCATCAGTCGATAATGCCAAGCGAAGGTTTCTAGCTT